ATTTCTAGAATGCTTTAATGTATGAACAATTAAAGATGCAACAAGAGGCAGGCAGGTAGCCATCTTAGGTTTGTGCACTCCAATCACACCAGTTGTATGATCCTTTGATCTCTCTGCTCTTCATCTCTCTGCCTATAAACTCTGTGTCTGTGTGCTTTCCCCTCACTGCACCTGACAAAGGGGCTGTGCTCCGAAAGCTTGTGATTTCAAATAAACTGTTGGACCATAACCTGGTGTCGTGTGATTTCTGACTTTGATGGATGAAGAAGGCAGCTCAGCACTGCCTTCTCAAGGGCAAGCAGGGATGGGCAATAAATGATGTCCTAGCCAGCAATGCCCACATATCATGTGTGAATAAATTAAAAGAAATCTCTTTATCTACCCGTAGCTCGGTCTGTATTCACTTCTACATCCAGTTCCTTTGTGAGATGATCTAATGCTCTCCTGTGTGAGTAATGACAGGACATCCTTTCAGTGAAGTACAGATCAAATAGAACAGAGGACCTGAATGGCTTTCTTTTGTTTCTTACAAAGCAGGTTTGCACACTTTCCTCTTACAAATCCTCATGTCATCACCTGAAAGAATGCTCCTGAGACTTCTCTTGGGGTCTATTTAAGATCCAGGCTTGCAGTCTTCCAAACCCAGCCAATATTGTCCTGGATTTCAGAGGTTTTCTGGAAGAGCACTTACGAGTCTGTGCCTGTGCTCTGGAGATGTCGAACTGAGATCCAGCTCGTTCAATCCCAGCTCACTGTTTTGAACTTGAGCCTGGAAGTTTTCGCACAGTGCTGTGCAATATTTACACCTCTATCAGAAATAAATGATCCAAACTCATGTTTGTGAGGATTTACCAAATCTCAGCGAAGTTTTCCCACAAAACAGATGGTACACACTGCCTGCCTCTGAGCGTCGGTGGTGGAGGGAGTGGATGCTTTTGGATGTGGTGCCAATCAAGCGGCTGCTTTGTCCTGGATGGTGTAAAGCTTCTTGAGTGTTGTTGGGGCTGCACTCATCCAGGCAAGTTGGAAGTATTCCATCACACTCCTGACTTGTGCCTTGAGAATAGTGGACAGGCTTTGAGGTGTCAGGAGGTGAGTTACTCACCACAGTATTCCCAGCCTCATATGCATTCTCACCAGTTTCCAATACCTTTTACTGCCCTTGCTTATTAAGAATTTATTGAACTCTGGCTTAAAAATACTCAAGGACTCTGCCACCACTGCTTTTTCAGGAAGAGAGATACAAGGACTCTGATTCTCTATGAGGAAAAAAATTCTCATTATCTCTGTTTGAAATGGGAAACCTCTTATTTTTAAACAGTGACCTCTAGTTTCAACTTCTCCCACAAGAGGAAACATCTCCACATCCACCCCGTACAGACCAGTGTTCTCTTTCAAATTCTTACAAGCTGCATGGGCCTCTAAATCCCGTATGTAGCAGAGACTTCCGAAATTGATGGTTTCTCCATGATTGGTGTGCCAATGCTGATCACCACGTGTGGAACATCGGAGCACTGAATGCACATGCAGCCAAACAACTTAGAGGGATCTCTGGTCATGATCGCTCAGGGTGTTGTGTTTCAATCAAATCATCCCTTACGCTTGTCAACTCCAGCAGATACCAGCCTAGTCTGTCCAACCTCTCCTCATAAGACAGCCTGCACGTTCCAGGAATCAGTCGCGTAACCATCTCTGAGCTGTCTTCAACACATTTACATTATTCCTTAGGTTTAGGGTAAAAGTTCAGCACAACATCGTGGGCCGAAGGGTCTGTACTGTTCTATGTTCTATGTTCCTTAACCACGGTGATTAATACTGTGCGCAGTACTCCATATGTGGTCTCACCAGTGCCCTGTAGAACAGTAGATCTTGCTGCTTTGTATCCTATTCCCTTTGCACCGAGCAATCACATTCTATTAGCTTTCCTAATTACTTCCTCAACCTGCAAACTAACCTTTTGTTATTCATACACTTGTACACTCAGATCCCTAAACATCTCAGAGCTTCACAATCTCTCACTATTTAGATAAATATGCTTCTTTTTATTCTTCCTGCCAAAATGGATAATTCCACATTTTTGCACATTATATTCCATTTGCCAATTGATCAATATCTTTTACTGTTTCTGTGCCCTGGCTCTGTAAACAATGTTGAGGTGGGTCGGAGCTACTTAACTCCAGATGAAAGGGGGCTTCCTAACTGCAGTGCTGAAAGAACCTGGCAGTGAAAGGCTAATGTGCCCCGCTCCTTAAGGCACTCCAGTTTTAATTGCACAAATTAATGATGGCTCTCTCTCTGTGGTCAGTTACAGTTCACCATTGTACTTACTGTCAATATCTCTTTGAAGTTTCCAAAGAGTGAGCTGCAGTCAGTAAAGGAACTTGCATTTCAATAGCACCTTGGGATATTTCCAAAGCACTTTGCAGCCAATGAAGTATTTTTGTTGTGTAATCACTGCAATGGTGCGGGATGCATGGCAGCCATATTGTGCACAGCAAGCTCCCACAAGACAGCAACATGATAATGACCAGACACCTTGTCTCACAGGTGATGTTGATTGAGAGATAAGTATTGACCAGGACAATAATGTCATGGGATCCTTTACAAATACCTGACAGGGGCCTCAGTTTAACGTCGACTCTGAGAGAGAGAAAAAACACCTCGAATTGTGCAGAACTCCCTCAGTGGAATCACTGGGAGTTAAAGCTGGGTCAGGAGCTCAAGTTGTTGAAGTGTGACTTTTCAACAAGAAAGCAGAGGCCCCTGTCCTCAGTTGTTGCTGACACTTAACCCAGCCGTGAATTATGAATAGCAGAAGCTTCAAGAAACTATCATATTCCCAGGTTTAAGGGGATTGCATTGAGAAATTGCTCCAGATTTATCACCAAGCGATCTCAGTCACTGGACATAAAACATTACACCATTACTCTATTAACAAAAAAAAATCCAATTTCATTTGTATAGCACCTTTAGCACAGTAAAAATATCCCAGGATGTTTCAAGGTGAGTTTTACCAGACACAGTTTGACGCCATGCCCCTGTTGGGGGAATGTGAGGATGAGTGAGCAAAAGTCCATCAAAGTAATAGGTTTTCAGGAGGTTCCTGAACGAAATAGGAGAGGGTGAGAGGCTGAAAGGTTTAGGGAGGGCATTCCAGAAGTTGGGTTCGAGACAGCCACTAACAGTGATTAAAATCAGGGATGTTCAGGAGGTCAGGTTTGTGGAGGAGTACCAGTATCTAAGAGGGTTGTAGGACAGGGGGAGACCACAGACATCAGAATGGCCCTGAGGAGAATCTTACAACGATGAGAACTTTTAAATAAGGCAAAAGATCTGTGGATGCTAGAAATCTGAAACAAGAACGGAAATTGCTGGAGAAACTCAATAGATCTGGCAGCATCTGTGGAGAGAGAGACAGGGTTAACGCTTCCAGCCCAGTGACCCTTTTTCTGAGTTTCTCCAGCAATTTCTGCTCCTGTTTGAGAATTTTTCCAGGCTTTGTGGGAGTTGATCCTTGAGCGTAGGAGGTGATGGGTGAATGTGACTTGGTGCAATCTAGGAAGTTAGGGAGTACAGAATCAAGGATAACCGAAGCAATGAAGCAGCAATTACAGCAGTCAAAGATATTTCAAAATCACAGTATGTTTTCAGAATAAGTAATCGTTTCAATTTTATGAATGCATTTATCATTAATTCATAAACCATCCTTTTATAAAGAATTGCCTTGCATTGCCACACAGTTCAATTCAAGCTGGAAGATAAATAAATCTGTGAAACCAATATTAATTGCAGTGGATTCTCAAATTAATAAACTCTTGATAGTGGACTAAAAAGCTGGACTTTAACAGCATTTCAGGTACCAACACCCTGGTAAATCATTGCAAATTAAGGTTCCATTACTATTTAAAAGCATGCGATGTTGCTCCATTGTAAACTGCACTGGGGCTGCATTTGTATATCCCACTGTCTGGGGTGGCAGTCGATGATTTACAGTCATTGATAGTGATAAACAGCATTTAATTCAGCTGGTTTTTCTAATGCATACTTTCTAAATGAGGCTGTTTGCTGTAGAATCTCTCCATGTCTTTCCAGCTCAATAATATTTTGGAATGAGTTTGGAATGAAATAAATTCGGAACAATTCTTGCCATTGAAACCTTTCTCTGAAAGGAATCTACTAAAGATTCTGTGTATAACAATGGACAGCATGTTATCCCAGATGGTAACCCCTTCCTTGTAGCATCTTAATAAAGTCTCCTCTTTTGTAACATTACTGACCAGTATTTGTTTTAATAAGAAGGTGTTGGACTAACATTCTATTAATGATGGATGAACAATGTTGAATATTGTCTTAGTTTGCAATTTGGGAATGGAAGGGCATCTCAATGTGCTAACTCAAGGAATTTTATCAAACTTATCAATTCCATAATGCTGAGGGGATGTGATTTATTGATTTATGTGGTTGAAGATATTGCCCTAAACTCGTTTCATTTCCTTAGAAAATCTATCTATTTAATTTTGTAAAACTAAAGCAAGTTAATTCACGTGGTCCACGTCTTTAAAATAAATAAATTCAGGGTCTAAATTGCTTTAAAAAATAAAAATCATATGAAGGTATAATATTAATGAGAACGTGCGTTTTTTTCTATTACAGGGTGCTGTACTCTTTTATTTAAAGAAAAGCTCACAGGTAAGACCAACCTGTTAAAACCTGTCAGTGTTGCCATCTCTGTACAAGAGTTTAGTAAATACGGTTGATTTTACTTTCCCGTTCAGATTGTGACCCACTTGGTTTTGTTCCCCCGACTCAAACTTCTGCCATTTCCCCCTTCGGTGGGCAAGATCACACTGGCTTCATCTGACGAGGTGTACCAATCTCCATGCTCAGCTCAGACCCTGGGGGGGATTGCTAACTTTGCATGACAGAACCTCTAGCAACCCCTCTACCCCCCACACGCACCGGAATTTCCAATACTGACAATTGAATGCAAAATAAAATACCTTTGAATATGCCCCAGCGTGTCTCCCACGGTGTGTTTAGTTTCCTCTTTGACAGGTTGGAAGAAAGTCTCCTTCAGAGTAGCAAACCCATTGGAAGGCATCTTTATCCGGCTGAGGAGGGGTATCTATCCCCGTCTGTCTTCAACTAGTTAGATTCTGTCAGTATCTATCAGACCAGGGACATTACTGTCCACACTTGGCTCATGGTCACTCTTAAAGAAGGCAGAGATTTCTTGTCTTTATTGAGAGAATTTGTTCTTTTCTCTCTCTCTCTCCCTCTCTCTCTCTGTCTCTCTTAAAGTAAGAATCCCAGGGCTTTCTGGCGACCAAACTAATCTAGAGAGGAGAGCAGATGTGGGTTTGATCATCCATCGTTCAGTCCCTGGTGCTCCTGGGAAAGTGCGTCGCTGTCCTCACACACAGCGAGGGTCACTAGACGTGCACTCCCCACTCTCCAAAACCATCAAACTACCAGTGACATCAGTGCACCACACAATCCAATTTCCGCTGAGCTCTGACCAACAGGAGCTCCAGCTACCTGTTCAAATGGCTCACAAGCCCTTGTCACAAGACAAGAGGCAGTGTAGAGGGAGAGAGAGAGAGAGAATGAAGGGATGAGTTTATTAAAAATTGACAGCTTTGTAGTCAGTCTGAATGACGCAGCCTGTGGTCTAATGCTGTAAACCTTGCCTTATTGTCACTGTAACTGATAGCGAGGGTGGAAACTCTGTGTTAAAATGCTTTTTAGATAGAATCTTTCAGAACTTAGAGCATTGTTAACCTCATCGACTTCAAAGCTTCTTTCAGCAATTAATTGTTAGATGATGATGTTTCAGGGTCGTCAAATTCCCCTTACTTTGTACAACATTTATATTAAAAATGAACTCAGCCAGCAATAACGTGACATGAAAATCTCTTGAATCTGTAGAACGCAATGTTTATATATTCCATTGCACAAATCAGTCAAACAAAATGCCTCTCAACGTATTCGGGAACGTTATTAAATTAATTTTTGCCGTCCTTTTTCTTTTTGCTTTTAAACCAGTCTGCAATTAACTGGAATTTAAACATTGCTGGTGAGTTTAATATTGCTGGCTGATGCAATTTTGTATTTTGATTTGATTGTTCTAAGCTTGTCTGAAGATAAACAAGGAAAGGAAGGCCATTCACCCACTTTAGCATGTTCCGCCATTCAAGAAGATCATGGTTTGCTTGATTGTAACCTCAATTCTGTACTCTCGCCCACCCTTTTGCTTATGGAGAATCCATTTACCTCTGCCTTAAGAATATTCCAAGACTCTGCCTCCACCATCTTTTCAGGAAGAGAGCTCCAATGACTCAGGAGTCTCTGACAGAAAAATAATTGCCTCACCTCAGTTTCAAATGGGCAGTCCCTGATTTTTAAGCAGAGATCGCTTGGTCAAGATTCCTGGGAGTGGGGTGTGAGCCTAGTGAAGCTATTCGATAGCTACTTGCATGCCAAACAGCGTAACAGTGAAGAAGGTTGTAGGATTACACAGAGATCTTGAACGGTTGGGTCAATGGGCTGAAGAGTGGCCGATGGTGTTTAATTTGGATAAATGGAAGGTATTGCATCTTGGTACAACAAACAAGGACAGGATTTATACAATTAAAAGTAGGGCCTTGGGTAGTGTTGTAGAACAGAGAGACCTAGGGGTTCAGGTACAAAATTCTTTGAAATTTGCATCACATACAGATATGGTGGATAAGAACGGTTAGCACACTTGCCTTCATTGCTTAAACCTTTGAATATAGAAGTTGGGACATTATGTTGAGATTGTACAGAGTCAGAAGACACACGACACCTGTTATAATCCAACAGGTTTATTTTGAAATCACAAACTTTCGGAGCATACCCCCTTCATCAAGTAAAGACTTCACTTGATGAAGGATCTACATTCCGAAAGCTTGTGATTTCAATTAAATCTGTTGAACTATAACCTGGTACCATGTGACTTCTGACTTTGTCCACCCCAGTCCAACACTGGCACCTCCATATTGAGATTGTACAGGGCATTGGTGAGGCCTCTTCTGGAGTACTGTGTCTAGTACTGTTCTCCTTATTATAGGAAGGATATTAAGCTGGAGATGTTCAGAAGAGATTTACCAGGATGTTGCCAGGATAGGAGGGTTTGAGTTATAAGGAGGCTGGATAGGCTGGGACTTTTTTCACTGGAGTGTAGGAGATTGAGGGGTGACCTTATAGAGGTTTGAAAAATCATGTGGGGTGTAGATAAGGTGAGTGGCAGGTGTCTTTTCCCCAGGGTGGGGGATTTCAATTCTAGCAGGCACATTTTTTAAGGTGAGAGGAGAAAGATTTTAAAAACACAGTGGGGGCAACTTTTTTACAGACAGAGTGTTTCCTACGTGGAATGAATTTCTAGAGGAAGCGGTGGATGTAGGTACAGTTACAATGTTTAAAAGACATTTGGATAAGTACAAAAGTAAGAAATGTTTGGAGGGATATGGGCCAGGAGCAGGCGGGTGGGACTAGTTTGTTTTGGGATTATGTTTGGCATGGAAAGATTGGACCGAAAGGTCTGTTTCTGTGCTGTATGACTCCATGAATGTATGACTCTGACAGGAGGAAAAGAGCCTGTCGATATCTACCCTGTCAAGCATGTTAAATGTTTCAATCAAGTTTTGAGGTTATGGAAAAGAAATGCAAAATATATTAAAGATTTTCCACTCGTGTCTTTTCCTGCGATCTAACCCGACATTTTCCTCAGATTACGAAGCCAAAAAAATAGTAATCTTTCAACAATTTACATTTAACATTCTGAAGCCTCCCAACCTCTGTCACAGGGGGCTAATCAAGGAAAGTTTGATCCCAAGTTACTCCAGGAGATAGTAGGACAGGTCATCAATAATTCAAAGAGATAGTTTTTGAGGAGGAGAGAGAGAGAGAGAGGTTGGCAGGTGGTGATGTTCAGGGAGGCAATTCCAGAACATGTGGCCCAGTCAGCTGAAACAGAGGCCTCAAGTAGCGATGGGAATCAGAGACACAGGAGAGACCGGAATCAGGTGAGTTGAGACATGGGAAGGTTGACATGCTGCAGGTGACCCTGGAGGAACGGAGGGGTGAGGCATTCAATAAACAGCTAACAGTGTTGTCAATTTCCCACATACCACACAGCTCACAGCCATCCCCTAACCATGAAATGGAGCCTCTCTTGGTTACAGGCAGCAGCGAAAATCAACACAGGAATAAGATTGATCATTTGAGACTTTACGTATGAACTTATAAACAAGGAACAGGGCATCTCAGCCCTTTGAGCCTGCTCCGCCATTCAATAAAATCGTGGCTGATTGGATTTTAACCTCTACTCTACATTTCTGTATATCCCCAATAACCTTTCACCCCCTTGGTCAAACTATCGAGCTCACCCCCAATTTCTTTTGATTATTTTGTCCTTTGAGGAAGGTTTGGACCAATCCTGCTCCTATTTGCTGCCCACTTGTGGTAGTTGCGGAACATTACACCTGAGCTTTCAAACTTTTCCGGCCCTTGGAAATGATAGACTAATACTCTGCTGACGGAGACCATTTGGCCCATTAGTACTATGCTGGACATTGAAAGAACTATCCAATCCACTCTGATACTCTTTTCCCAAAGCATAAGACTACCCTAACCTAACTCCCTTTAAAAAAGTTTATTTTAAAAATATTTAATGAAGATTATTTTATAAAATATTTCATAAAATGTCCTTTAATATATGGACAGGCCCATGGAGAAGCCTGAGATTGATTGACCAACTTAAAGACTTGTATTTAAAAGATTAATTAACATAATAAAATGTTCAGAAAGGAATTAAAAAGAAAAAAGAGACACCCAGACAGATGAGGAGATATTAAGAGTCCGATGATCAAACCCTCGGACAAAGGAATTGTTTTTAAGGAGTGCCATAAAAGAGGAACGAGGAGCCGAGAGGTTTATGGACAGAATTCCAGAGCTTGAGGACCAGGCAGCTGAAGCCAAGGCCCAATTAGTGTAGTGATGAAAATCAGGAATTCTCAAGATGTTGGAAGCACAGAGAGATCTCAGAGACAGGTAGGAGTGCAGATACTAGAAGCCAGAGTCAATAAACATGGAGCTGGAGAAGCTCAGCACATCACACAGCATCCAAGGAGCAGGAAAGACAATGTTTTGGGCTGAAACCCTTCATCAGGACTGGGGAGGGGGAGGGGAGACCAGAAATAAATAGAGGAAGAAGTGTGAGGCTGGGGGAAGGGTAGGTAGGATGGAGATAGGTGGATGCAGGTAGGGGGTTACAGTGATTGGTCAGTGCTAAGGGTGGGGTGGATAGGTGAGGAGGAAGATGGACAGGTTAGGTCAGGTCAGGGAAGGCTGGATATGGGATAAGGCTGGGGGTGGAGGGAATTTGAAGCTGGTGAAGTCAACGTTGAGGCCATTGGGCTGTAAGCTCCCAAGACAAAATATCAGGTGTTGTTCCTCCAGTTTATGTTTGGCCTCACACTGACAGTGGAGGAGGCCAAGGATGGACTTGTCACCGGGGGAGGGGGAATTAAAATGGATGGCACCCGGAAGGTTGGGTTGATTGGTCCGTGAGTCTATGTTTGGTCTCCCCGAGACAGAGGAGACACATCGGAAGCAACGGATGCAATAAAAAGATTGATCTGTAAAAAAATAAATCAGGCTGAATGAAGTGCAAGTGAATATCTGCTGGATCTGGAAGGATTGCTTGGGGCCATGGTCAGAGGTGAGAGGGGAAGGTGTAGGGGCAGGTGTTGCACCTCGCGTGGTTGGAGAGAAAGGGACCGGGTATGATGAAGAAATTGGTGAGGAGTGGAGAGCTGACGAGGGAGTTGCAAAGTGAGCTGTCCCTGCGGAAAGTGAACGGGGGTAGGGAAGGATTGATGACTGTATCGGTGCTACCTCATGCTCCCATGAGGAGCTGAAGCAGTTCATCAACTTCGCCAACACCTTCCACCCCGCCGTCAAATTCACCTGGACCATTTCTGACACCTCCCTCCCTTTCCTGGATCTGTCCAGAAACCGACTCATCACTGACATCCATTTCAAACCCACCGACTCCCACAACTACCTGACTACACCTCCTCTCACCCACCCTCCTGCAAAAATGCAATCCCTTATTCTCAATTCCTCCAACT